AGACTATCGTGGCTCAGCGTCTTCAAAGCCGCAGCTGATCACATTCTCAGAAAACTGAACTCTGGACTCCACTTGGAATTCTTATGATTATAAATTGAAAGACTCAACATTGCCCTTGGCTTTGTATATCATCCACGATGCTGTGTTCCAGCACATAAATTTCCAGTAAACTGACTTGGGATTTGTTACAACTTCCTGCTTTCCAGTTACTGTCTTGAGCCTCGGGTGGTTGCCAGATATTTCCTGAAAAAAAAAAGAGCTCCAACTGGCAAAGGAATTTTGGAGCCCAACCAATACCGGTACAAAAAAAAGCCACATAAAGCTATGTACATGTGTACAATGTATACATGTACAACAGTGCGTGAAATTAGACCCAAAAAGTGGTCAGACAAAATGTCCGAGCACAAGTGTTCTGCCATTGTCAAGTTTTGATCTGCCATCTGAGACGAACTTTCAAAAGGCCGCGTTTACTATACTTCAAACACGTGGATGGTACATACACGTGTGTACATGTACAGTATGTATGTTTACGTACGTACGTATCCATAATACACACTATGTAGTTGCAATGACAAGCGCCGGGCATTCACGCGCTCGTTTCTGTAGTACTAGTAAGCCACGTTGTAAGAATTTAGTAACAATCACGCACTTAAAGCATACCGCGCAACACAACGTACTTTGATCTTGCTAAATTCTCATTACATGTATGCGCGTCAATGTCCTTATAATATTTAGACTCGTCACTATACAGACTCGATTCAAGTCTGCAGAACACATAACTTAAACTGGGTGAAATTGCAGTTCTGAATGTCCAAAGAGGCTCGATCGAATCATTATAGCAAGGAATAGAGGTTGAATCAGGTCCAATTTTAAAATTTGGCCCAATAAAAATTAACTGGGAATTCCACAAACGGCCACTGCTCATTTCCATAAAATGACTTGAAAAGTACAAAAAGTTGTAATAACTGATTTGTAGAAGAAACACGAAGACTGCTGATCGAAACACAATTTATCGACTTGATTTCACGTCTATTTTTTGGCAAACGGCACGTACGTACGAATGCCAATCTATCGCTGTGCACGCCGCGCTGTACTAGACTGTGTAATGATTGGGGTGTAAACGCGTTGCATCTATTGCGTGAATATAAGACAACATGTAGTTAGCAGCCGCTCAGCGTACGGTAAGTATTACAGACCGGATCATCGGAAATAAACAACAAAATACTTTTGAGTGCAAGCGTTTATTTCATACTTCTGAAAAAGACAACTCCACAAAGAATACATAAATCGCTCGGACATTTTGTCCGAGCACATCTGCATTTGGTCGGACAAACCATGAAAGTGGTCGGAAAATGTCCGATGTCCGACTGTAATTTCACGCACTGGTACAATGTGTTGTTCAAAAGTACAAAGTATGCAATGATTTAACTAATTATGACATGTTTGAGGGTTTTGCATTAAAACGAGAAGCCGTTGTAAGGATACCCTATGTAGGCCACAGCCTGATCAATTACCCGGTACATGTAACTAAGGAATAATCAGTTTGAATTCTTCTTTCATTACAATATTAATTGCAGCACACATTGTTCATCTGCTCTTGTCTATATTGCCAAGGGAGTAATATCTTTTCACTGGCCCAGCTACAAACACAAACTTAACTGCACAGTAAGAATATTTACCAAGTTTTCAGGAAGTCATTCCAAGTGAATCACATCTCATCTACTCTCAAGGCAAGTGACAAGCTATTCAAATGGTGTATCATATATATCATATCACATACATCCATTAACCCTAATAACGACTGTTCAATTCAATTCAATCAATTAACATTCTGCACATAAAGTATACAATTTCCATCAAAAGCAACGTTATTGAACCATAAACAATGTAAACTGAATACTATTCATTACATGTAGATCAGATAAATTCAAAAATTGAATTCTGTCATAAATACCGCAATATGTTTATAAATAATTTATGTGTATCTTGTATGCATTTTAAGTGCACATACCGGTCCCGGTACTGGACGGTATGTACACAAGTTGTACAACTGCAGTGTCTTGCAGTTGAACAACACTTTATGAAACAATTGCAGAGCACAGGTACTTGAAGTGCTGATTGAGTGCATAAACTAGTATCAGTCTCTTTTACCTCATTTGATTTTTGTAATTGTAAGCAATTTTAGCTTAATTTTTTGCTCAAAACATTTTCAGCTGGCAAACTTAAAATCCACTGGAAAATATTTCAAGTTCTGTTGACTTTTTTTTCACCTTCTGTTTTTGGTTTAAGTACTGACAATTCAAATTATATGTAATCTGCATTCCCAGTGTGTGCATCCTGGGCCCATGATTTAGACATTAATGTCGCCAGACGCAGCCACCAGGTTCAAGTATGTGGATCAGCCCCAAACCATGGCCATAAATGTTTCCCGTTGAGCTGGCAGAGATCCAAGAAGATCACGCAGGGGGAGGTGTGTGCATTGGGGGGGGGGGGGGGGTATGGCTACCTCAAGAAGCCAGGGCAAAACCTATGGTATCCTATGACTGGCTGCTGTACGATTTTCTTTTCTTTTTTTAATGCCGAAAGGAAGATGTTGAAATACAGGCCAGACACGCTATCAATCACTCAGCATGGGGATCGCATCTACAGGGGACCGGGCGCGTACTATCAGCACACACAGTGCGGTCTTGCATATTAAATACCGACGCAGGAATATCATGCAGTGGTAAAAATTGATGGAATAAGTGGAATTCAGATCTCCATTATTTATGGAGGCAGGCTTGCAGTGTCATACATAAGAATAGGCCTACCCTGTCTGCACTTGGAAATTAGTAAATATGTTTTTGCTCCAGGATTTTAGGATTCACACTGAAGACACAGCTTAAAAATGTAATACATTTGTGGGTGTATCAAAATGTATTGGACTTGTTATACATTGTATTCTTCAAATGTCTTTCTTTACAAAAAGTAATGGAATAGGCCTACCCTGTCTGCACTTGGAAATTAGTAAATATGTTTTTGCACCAGGATTTTAGGATTCACACTGAAGACACAGCTTAAAAATGTAATACATTTGTGGGTGTATCAAAATGTATTGGACTTGTTATACATTGTATTCTTCAAATGTCTTTCTTTACAAAAAGTAATGGAATAACACAATGTTAGTTGTTACAATGATTTTTTTTTACAATGGATTTTCTGTCACCTTTTCTCCTGTGAGATTTCAACATTAAAGGTATAGTCCATCATTTGTAATTTGTGCATTTTGTTCGTTTGAAGCAACAAAAGTGCTCAAGATCTAAAGAAGGGTGCTGAACAGCTAGCCTGATGAAGTTTCAGCTCAGCTTCAGCTGTATATTCTGAGAAAAACAGCATTCTAGGATCTCGATTTGAAATCAAAAGTTGCTGAATCATGTTTTGAATTGGGCCTGAATTCAGCGTACGAGACACGTTCTCACTGAGCCGATTGCACCTACGCGATGTCGCGCACTGATCCGACGAATTATAGCAACCGCGTGCGCGTGTGCATCTTGTCAGTTTGACGCTTGTGCGCGCTTCGCCGAATTAAAAAACCGAACTACTAACGGAAATTTCCAACGGTGCTTCTTAAGACGCACCGTTGAAAAGGCCTTCTTGCATTGATTTCTTCAAAATGACAGCTTGCCAGAGAGAATAATTTCACAGGAAGTCCACTTACTATCTTTCAACCAAGTATGTTTTTCAACAATAATTACGCCAGTTACTTTTTGGATAGCTGCAAATGATGGACTCTGGCTTTAACTTTGTCAGAGTCCCCAAGATTTCAAAGTTTGAATCCGCCATCGGACTAGTCATGTACAATGTACCGGTACTACATGCAGAAACCAGTGGATGTTTAAAGCAAATTTAATTCATGCTTACACGTACTTCTTTGTTAGATAAAATGGGCATGCACTCAGAGTATGTAAATAACATGCACAGGCGCACCACGATCAAAGCTGCCTTTTTGTTCATTCGTGTTTCATGGATACGCTGTAGATCTTTAATTTTCTATTTTTAAAAAAATTAGAAGTTAGTGGCACTGTTTTATTAGATGTGCGGCCGGCGGTAAACGTAAGGCACACAAAAGCTTACAATCCGTTAATGGTGTAGCAAGTTAAAGTACACTAACGGACACAAACGTGCGCGATTTGCTGCAGTGAGAAAACAATATGGGGTATTGCTAACATGCTGAATGTTGATTCTGATCAAACTGCATAAATTTTATTTACATTGTACATTGAGTGTTTGACACTAGGGATGAGATTGTCAATTTCAAAAAAAGTCTGAAAATTGGATGGAGGGTCTTCAAGATGCATTTCTTTTTATACGGATAATGTCTTTCTCTCAGATTGAAACAGTCTGCCAAAAATCTGAAAAATATCATGCCTGTTTACGTGTTGTACCCTTCATGCCCTTGGGGCACTGGGGAACATGATGCCAATAATGCCAAACCAAAATGTCAAGTCTGCCCATTCCAAGTCTACTCCCAGCAAAATTGTAAAAGCTGATGGCCACCATCATATCTAGGGCTTTGCCAAATATACCAACTACTGGTATTATATATTCAGTCATTTACCAAATATACACGAAATTCAAATTTTCAATGTTAATGTGCACTTTAATGCGCGACAGATGACTCTCGCGAAAGTTGCGGTTTACACAGTAAAGCCACAAAGCCCTTCAGACTACTGCCGGGATTGGAATTTTGGGAGTTGGGTTTCTTTTACGGGTGCCCGTGTTTTACCCGTAAATCCACACCACTATAATGATTTCACCATACAGCTTGATATGGAAGTGTTTACGACTACTTCGGAATTGGGTAAATTTCGAGCCAAATCCGATTGAATTGTGACTCCTGCACAAAATTAAAAATCCCTAGATGCTGTTTTTACTCAAGCCTAATTGTCCAACCTTGCGTGACTTGCATATATGTACCAGTATTCCTGATTACACCGGAGCAAGTCCCTATATAGTCTTACCTCCTCATCTTTGTTGGTGAATTCATGGGAGCCGGAGACCTTGTTGATGACTTGGGCCACTCCGATCACGTCGCCTTCATGGTTGATGATGGGCATGCACAGAATGCTGTAGGTGCGGTAGCCCGTTCGCTTATCCACTTCCGGATTGAAGCGAGGATCCTGTAACACAAAAAAAAGGAGAAAAAAAAAGAGAAAAGATGTTGTAATATTTTATTCAGATTTTTAATAAAGACTTAGACAACCAATGTTTCCAATTTATCAATTTCTCAAAGCCCAATAGTATTCCAATCCCAACAGCCCTGATTCTGTTTGCAAGAACATGTCCATTTCTGAAATCTACCATACTTCATGTTTCATAATGTTTGCCGTACAAATGCAGGTTTATGCCAACTCAAACACTCTCAATTAATGCAGTCAACACAATTCAGCTGATTTAATTTTGGAAAAAAATTATTCCACTGAGTCATTAATAAAAAGCATTGTAGAATCCCTTATTGCATTAATACAACAAATACCGGTAATTTGTTTGTGCAACAACCTGTACAAAACAAACAACTGAATGTTTGCAGGGGTTAAATATAAAAGTTTCTTATATTTGACATAAAGTCAAAAATTCTCACAGTTCCAGCGTATCGACATTATTTTTTTATATTTTTCATGAAACATCCCCTCCCCAAAACACAAACTGGAAGTTCAAATCTTGCAAAAGAAAATTAGGCAGTGCATAATGTTCTGCTCTAGATATGAAAAACTCACATGAATACCTGATGCAAAGCATATAAAGTTTGTGAGAGTACTAGGCATTTCGTTATTGTGACTGACATGTTAATGGATAGAAATACCGGTACGTGTTTGTACATATGTGCTTCAGTTATGAAATTTAAACAAACAAAATGAAGTGTACAAGTGTTTAATCACACACAGGCTGCCTGTGCCGTGAAAGAGATCAGCATCAATTTTTGGCATGGACTTCATTCAGATATACCCGGTATATCTCAGTTATTTTCAGTACATCCATAAATGTATACATTTAAAGTAACTTCCCATTTAATAATTAGATACAGAGATGTTTGTCAAATACATTTGTGTGTACACCCATACTGAAATTTTTATCCTTGTGGAGACATTTCTTTGTTCTCAAAGTTTTTGAGTTTGAAGTGTAGTTTCAAAATGCTCTTATTTTAACCAGAATTAATTTCCTTGGCTGAAATTCGGACTTAATATTCCTTTTCTAAAACTCTTCCATTTGCGACGGATCAGCATACCTTGGAAATTCCTAGTTTTTGAGTAAAATCCATATACATTGTATAATCTATTACGTATAGATCTATATGTATTTCATGATAACCTTGTGGAGACGTATTCATCTAGAGAAATTGCCATGTGGAGACGTATACAATCTTTTGTTCCCTGTTGTGTGCATGTCTCCAGAGGGCACAGTGTATCACGTTCATGTACACATGTACCTGCACACACATGAAAATATACACAAATGAACACCATGTATGTTTATTATTTCAGCAATCATATCACCAACAATATCATTCAGTGCTAGTATCGCATGACAGAAAATATACCGGTACCTTTTAAAGTATGACAGTTACTTTACAATGCTTGTACAGTACATCAAATGTATTTCTTTTCTTGATAGTGCACAGCAGAATCGCGTCACAGTACACATGTACAAATTTCCCCTCCCCCCCCCCCCTCCCCAAAGAAAGATAAAAATTGCCAGAACTGTAACAAATTGGTTAGAAAATGCAGATTTGGCATTACACGTACCGGTATGCCTACTGTACGGGTGCATACGTCAAGCAGTCTTTGATTTTAACCCAGGACACTGGAAAATCCAAGCCTATTTGTTTTTTCTCAGTGTGAATCAATACCACTCTAGTCTATGCACAAAAGTATGCGTTTCAATGTAAACGCAATTAAAGCCCCTGAGTCTGTCCATTTCACCTGGAACATTTCAGCGATTACTCGGGAGGCCAGTCTCAAGTGCGCGGTGTCCTAGCAACAACAGCAGCGGCAAACAAAACGTGTGAAATGCTCTTTGCCTTGGATACGGCTTTAAGAGGCTTTTCTTTGTCACGGCAAGTGTAGTTTGTTTCTTTTCCCCCGAAGGTTGACAATTTCGTCAGCAATTTCCTCTCAAGCAAAAAAAAAAAAAAAAAAAGGAATTTTTCATTTCTTTCGCTGTCTTGGAGAAGAAGGCACAGGCAAGAAAATCGAATTAAATCAGACAAATGATGCAAAATTACATCTGTAGTCAAGATGAAGCCTGCGGATGTATGATCTCCAAGTGATTTCATAAAATCTTGAGGATGGTAGTTTAAACGCAAATATCCTTTTTTTTTCCTGAGCAACTTGTGACACAGGCTCCAATATGACTGCCTATTAATCTGACTGTCTACATCATGTGATTTAATAGCATTACATGTAGAGTTGATGTGAAAAGTAAAAACTATTTCTGAAGCAGCATTTATTCAATTAAAGGTACAGTAGATCATTTGCAGCTATCCTAAAAGCAACGGACCAAATTATCAAGTGGTCAAAAAGGTTGCTTGGTTTAAAGATAGTAATTAATGGCACTAAACTTCCTTTCATTTTGAAGAAAACAATAAAAGAAGGTCATTTCCAAAGATGAGTAAAAAGACGCACGTTTGGAAATTTCCATTTATAAGTAGGGTAGTTGGTGTGTAATTGGGTGAATCCATGAATGGGTGCGCGCAAGCGTCGACACCACACACATGAGCGCGCAGTTGCTATTATTCATCCGTTCAGTGCATGACATCGCGTAGCTGCAATCAGCTGAATGAGAAAGTGTTCCGGATGCTTATTTTGGGGCGCAATTTAAAATATGACTCAGCAACTTTTGAATTAAAAGTGATTTGCTTGAATATTGTTTTCTCAGAATATACGGCGTTCACAGGGCTAAACCTTCATTACATACATGTACATGTATTGTAGGTTAGTTGTTAAGCACCTAGTCCTCAGATTTTGAGCACTTTTGTTGCTTCAAATGAAACAAATGTACAAATGACAAATTATATACTCTACCTTTAAATAAGACAAAATCTATGCAAACAATTAACTGTCAATGCAGTAAAAAAAAAAAAATACATACAAAGGGGGCCTAAGTACTGCAAAACAGAAGTGCAAAAGAAAACGTCAGAGTCAATTCAATAACCCCATGTTGTATTATCCTGACCATCTTTGCCTTTCTTATCCCCTTTAATTTTGAAAACCTTCTCAATAATATTAAAGAGGTTTTGCAAGCGAATGGATCAGTTAGTGTGCCGGATAAGTCATCACTTTGAGTGGTCTTGTGATGTCATGCCACTTGCTAGCCTCTTTTGTGTTAATTTATATAAGGCCGAAAAAATAAATAAGTAGGTCTCTGGTCAGCGCGCGCGTCGATTTTAATCATGCGCGTCAATCTTTTTTTCTTTCCAAAATGTTCCGCGGTAGCTTCGCACCTCCTCAATTTTTTTACCAAAGAGCACCAAGGAATGGGAAATTGCACCAAGGCAAATGATCGAGGGCACCAAGGCAAATTATGGAGGACACCAATGTACAAGAGAACACCAAAAAAAAGCAAAATACATGGACATGTAGTACCCCACCTTGTCTGTACAATCCAAGCTTGAAAAAAAAAAAAAGCAAAAAAAAAAAAAAAAAACAAGCCGCGTCGCCGCATCAATTCCAGAACTTTGGCCTGACCAGAGACCGAGTATTTTTTTTGTGGCCTAATCTTCTTTTTTCTTCAAGTGCCATTTGTTTGTGTTTCATAGAAGGATTAGCCGCAGACACAAGGCTTTCATCAGCGACTGTCTTTTTGGATTGCTGCAGGTGACTACAAGTGTATGCGCATACATGCTGCGAAACCGCGTAATGGTCGATAACCGTTACGGATAACTTAACGTAGGCCTATGTGTTCGGATGCAAAACCTCACAAATTAACTAACTGCCGGTAAATACATTTAGCTTCATATGAAGCCACACAAGTTTCTACACATACATGTAATGTTTCCTTGTGTCTTATGGAAAACATGATTTGATATGAGACAAGTTTCAAGTACCGGTACATGTACATTAGACAGTACATAACATGTACACACATAGTACTCATATTTCTTCATTTTCTTTTTTTTTCAAAAAAATAACAGCAATGGAATATACATTTGCACTCAAACAAATTTTTGGGGTCATCCATGATGTACGGTAGATGGGAAAACAGCAAAAGTCAGACATCAGGTTGCCAAACCTTCGCAGAAAATCCAGGTACCCATGGGATTGATAATTGACTCGGTTGGCAGTGGAGTGGAACACGCAGCTGATGAACCCACTACAAGGAATCATTAGCGAGATCATACACGGATGGGCATGCATCACTCCCCTTTCCAATGATCGGTGATACTCAATAATTCACACAAACGTACTTCATCATGGCCAATGAGCGGCTTCCAATGTTAATACAAAAACGAAGTGACTTTAACACGAAAATAGAGGAAAACCAATGCAACAAAATCATTGTTTTAACAACCTCATTTTAGTTGTCCCATTTACAAAAGCAAAGTACATGTACATGTGCGTTCACTTCTCCCGCCCCCCTCCCTCCCAAGTCTTTTTTTTTGGGGGGGGGGGGGGGGGGGAAATCATATGACACAAAAATTCTAATGAAATTACCCTGAACAATGCACGTACATGATCGGTCACACACCACTAGGCACTCATGTATAATTTAATTAAAATGTCGCTGCTACAAAGAAACTGCAATGTAATCAATGTACGTATGTAAAGGTGTATACCGGTACATGCAACATAATCGAATACAAAATTACTCGAAAATGGACAACCCTATAGATACACATTTGTCATCAATGAATCCATCCTCCGGCTCTAGCGTCTTGGGGACTATTTACACATGACTTTGTTTTAACCATGCTTATCAACGCAATGGCAGCTACATGTACATGTACACCCTATTAAGTCTCATAATAGCATGGATATTATTGTGCACAGATATCTGCACATAAAAATTGCTCAAATGTCATTTGAACTAGCATTCGCATTCATCTCTGCTCATCTGGACTGTATATTCTCAGGACCATTTCCACGTCTTAGCATAATTTTCAAAACAACCCTCAAATCTGCCC